TGACTAACACAAGGGTGGGGGGATTCTCTCCGACCCATATCTTGCTTCAGATGTTGCCTGTAGAGGGTTTGCATGGCTTTCACGTAACAGGCCAGTGTCTTCGTCCCACGGGGTATATTGGCACAGATGAGGCTTCTTTGTGGAACAAAGAACCGCCTCGCACAGCCGCTATAATACCTATCAGGATAAGTTGGGAAGGGACTGTGGCGGCAGATCGCTAAATTAGCCCAGAAAAAGCCAAGTGAATTTTTTTTTGCGTCTTTCTCTTAGAAAGCATTGCTACTGAGGATACAGCACATCTTTTCGAATCAGCTTTCCAACAGTAGGCCCATTTGAAGTAAGATATGGGACGGAGAGAACCCCCCCCCCGCGCCTTTGTGTTGATCATTGCACCCTCCGTCCCATATCTTGCCTGGTATAGTTAGTAGTTGCCTGTGTTCCAGAGTGAAGCTGATGCTTTGTGCTGACATGCTAGTTGAGCTGCACGTCTGCTCTCAGATCATAATTTTGTGCTGTGTGCATCGTAGCCAAATTTCTGTGTGAAATTTTGTGCCAGTTTCGGCAATGCTTTTATGCCACTTTGGCATTCTGAGTGGAGCATTTCTAGACCAAGCTGGGCGAAGACTCTAAGTGAAGCAAGAGAATATTAACTGCAAGTTATTCGTTGATACCGATGTATTTGTTTTGAAATTTTATTGCTGCTTGTGCTAGAGTTAACAAAGGATTACCTGGTGTTAAATGTCCCTTGTGTTAAATGTCCAAATGTCATTGTAGTGTGTTTAAAAATGACGAACAAGTCGAAGTTCAGATTTTAATCTGAACAGTAACAGAGGCAGATGTTAGGCGCCCAAAGCTGTGTGTTAAGCAAGCGCGACGCATAGGCTCCGCCTTGTATGTTGTGCGATAGGGCAGCGGAAATCACTGCTTGGTCGCGTGAGCGCGGGCGTGGTCACAGCAGCACGAAGGCTATAAAAGGCGCGCGCAGGCTAGGCCTAGTCGTCCTGATATCAAGGGCTGACATGATCCGGAGGTAAGGGTCGAAAATCGTGTGAAAGGGTTAAAGTCACCTAGCCTAGCTGCTCAGGGACTCTCCGGCGTGCCGTCCGCGCCGACGCGCCTCGAGGAGGAGGGCGCCCTCGCTTTCGTCGGAGTGGCGCGGCGTCACAATATTAGCAGGTTTTGGGTCATTTATATATCTATTAATGTTTAGGTGATCATCAATTTGGGTATTGAAGACACCCTGTAACTACCCGAGTTTGAAAGTGTGGACTGAGTAACTACTACAGAAGAACAGAACTACTGTAGAGACTCAAGACCTCGTTTGCCAAGGACCGGTCGGAACTACCTATCACATTTGATTGACGTTCAGTTTAAATTTTAGAGATTGTGTTCTAGTCCAAGTAAATGTAGGGCTAACTCAGTAAAAAACAGAAACTTCTACTTTTTGTTACGCCAGGCATCGTGAAAACTGTAGACATTTTATGTTGAAGTCCTTGCTGGTTCACTCAAATTGTCGATAAGAAATATCAATTGTGATACAACTGAAACACTCAAATCTGGGTTTTTTTGATTGGCTAAGACTAAGATCTGGCGGTAATTTTCCAGTTTTCAGTAAAAACGTGTATATGTCCTGTCAATTTGAGGTATTTGTGATTAGAAGAAATTCAATATTTACTCGATTTTTTTTCTAACATTGAAATCTGACTGTTAAAACCTCATATTTTATTTTGTATTTTAAGGTTGGAAGCAAGTTGTAAACAAGAATTTATACAAAGAAAATAACGTGTTTTGATGCCTCAGTTGTGTGTACATTGTCCCATTTGTCCAGTTCTGAACTGTGACAGAACAATCCACGCTATCTTTTAATTAGGAACTAAACAAACCAGTTCTACCTTGGGTTCTCTTGAAAATACCCTTAGAAGTGAGGGAGGAAAGGATGAGAGAGAGAGGGAGAAAGTAAAAGATTAAAAAAAAGCCTACGACACCCGGTATTCCCAGGCGGTCTCCCATCCAAGTACTGACCGGGCCCGACGTTGCTTAACTTCGGTGATCGGACGAGAACCGGTGTATTCAACGTAGTATGGTCGTAGGCAATTATAATTAGTTTTATAGGTTATTTATAGATGTCATGTGTGATCGATCTGCGAAACATGCTAGTCACGAGGTATATTTGCATAATTCAATGACGTTGGGTATGCATATGCATAGTCGTTGGAAATAACAAATTTAAATTATCAAAACATCCTGCAATTAGGTTCTCCTTCATTCTTCTTCTGCCTAGAGATGCGCCAACTTCATATATTTAATTACTCATGCACAATGAAATTAGAAGCAGTTACAGGTAGGAGGAAAACCCCAGAGGAATGTTGTGGGTAAAACCCACGGAGTCAAGTAGAGACTGAAAACCCAACCCATAGGCCTATGTGGACCACCACCGAGCCAGGAGTCGAGCTCGGACCGCAGACATGGTAGAGGTGGAAGGCGAGGAAAGAACCACCACGCCAACCCGATTCCTCGGTTTTTACATTAAACTTGGAAGTACATTCATTTCATTACATCAACTGTAAAAACCCGTCTGTCGACTGACTGGTACGGTGAAAGACCCTTTCTTTTCAATCTGCCGTAGTATTGGTAGTTATTGGCAGTTATTGGCCTAGCGCTATTGTGCTTTTTAGTGAGTGAACACATCTTTCCAAACCGAAGTATGATCATATATCCCTGGTGGCTCACACAACCGTGACAGTGAATGAGGCAGTCATTTGGAAAAACAAAAACAAAAAACAAGCAAAACCACGACAGCATCTGCTTTGCTCTCCATGGTCTAGCGTTTCTCCGAATGTTCCAGCCGTGTTAAGTTTGCCTCCGCCTCGTACATGTACATGATAAACCGATATTGATCAATCGATCAAACACCTGTTGCACCCATCAGCATGACGTCATGTAAGTATATGAATTCGACAACCTCGCTCTCGGTAGTTGTCGATCGGGGTCGTCTGTGTGGGTCTGTAATTAAACCTGGGAACAAATCTGAATCGAGCGACAAGTTGTCGCAAAATGGCTTCCAAGTGCAAGTTCCAGCCGAATGCAGTGCAAAACACGTAACTTCTCCCAGCAATTACGATTGCCAGCTAAATTTGTGTTGTTGCTTGCTGCTCATTCACCAGATGTCTGGATTCTGGAGGTTTCTTATTCCTGTTTGTCTTCTGTTACTTGTAAATCACAGGTAAATGTAACTGTTTTACACACAATCTATTATTAATTACGCCTAACTAGGCCTAGGCTCTAGTCAGACAGTACAGTGGCGAATGTAAAGCTACGCGCTAGCACAATTTTTCTTAATTAACGTTACTTGGTGGGCGTGGGCACAGTCATGACGGTACGCTTGTAGCCCCGGTTGGACGTTGTCTTCATTTCACTATGACTCCGTAGTACGGTCAGGGAGTCCACCGGGGCTAGGTACGCATGGTATGCTGGGCTGGCATATGCATAATGCAGGCATGGTAGGGGGGAAGGACTAATATTTCTGCACCGGTTGAGGGAGTTTCTGCAAGAAATGTTATGGCTTACTCTTCTACTCTTTGCCCTTGTCCAGTCATAAATAATAATAATTGACATTTATAAAGCGCCCAATCCATTAAGCTGCTCCCAGGCGCTGTACATCAAAATATAAATAAATAAATAAAACCTACATTTACATTACATTTAATTAAAATCAGTACTAAGAAACTAAAAATGCTTGTATGAAAAGTTGCATCTTCAGCTCGGTCTTAAAACTCTCCACACTCCTAGACTCTCTAAGATGAACTTCAAGCTGGTTCCAGAAATGGGGACCAGTTGAAGAAAACATCTTCTCACCAGCAGAAGACAGCCTAATTTTTGGAAGAGTAAGCTTAGACGAGTCCAGGGCGGAAAGAGAGATTCGACCATTTTGTTGTCAAGATCACACCTTGGCTCTTGACTTCAAAGACCGCGGTAATACATGTATTGTGATTTCCAATATTTACAACAGTTCTAGGAATTCTGCTCAACGACATACAAGTATGCGATCCAATGATAAGCAGATCTGTCTTATCATCATTTAGCTTCAAAAAATTAATCGCCATCCAACATCTGATGTCATCACAGCATTTTTCTAAAACTGACATTTGTTGCTGTATGTTACTGTTGGTTGGCTGTGCTGACAAGTACAACTGAGTGTCATCTGCATAAAAATGACAACCCAGTCCATGATTCCTAATAACGTCCCATAGGGTGGCGAAAAGTTTAAGTGTCGTGCGTGTTTTGAGTGAAAACGGTGGGATTTTGACAGATTTTGAAGTCAGAAATATCACTAAAGCCCCAAAAGTTTTCCTTTGGCATTTAGAAAGCCAGTAGGTGGTGAAAAAGGTATTTTTGGTGAGTCTAGAATTTTTGGAGAATTGTTGTCACATTACTATATGTAATGGCATGGAGCATTTGTATGATGATCCCATCCAAACTCGAAAAAGAAGAATACTAACACTCCACTCAGTACTAGCTGGGCCTCAAAGTTCAACGTTATTCTTGTCAGTAAAGGCAAGTGATTACAAATTGTATGAAAATGTCAGCCCACAATCAAAGAGGTGATGTCTGGGCACAATTGCAGAATACCCCAGTCTCCGCCACTCACCTTGCCCACCTCGAAGCCGTGGACATGGAGTCACGCTCCC